TCAAATATAAAATTTAATATTTGAAGTCCATTTTTTCACACTATGAACCTTCTTTTTTAATCCAACTAATTTGAGATCATTCAATAATATTAAAATCAACATTTTACAACAAAAATTAATAAATACATTCTAATTTTTATTAAATTTTCCAAACAAATGAATTTTTTAACACAAGTTCGATAAAACATATCAACAATATTGTTTTGATAATAGAAAGATGTTCTGAATCCGAATCTCTATAAAATTAGTTAATATGTTATTCTAGCTACATGTATTCAAATTTTTGTCAATGTATATTATTATATATTAACTATATATTAATAAAATACATATATTAACTATATATTAATTATTTAGTTAATGCTCGCTTTAGTTTTTATTTGCTAAGATATCGGATAATATGTCAATATCACATTTATATAGTACATGTTTAGATAATATAATAAATAATAATTATATATGCCAAATAAATATAACATAAAGAGTACTCGTTTCAACATTCACTATGATCGGTAATAGGCAACAAATAACAATATATATGTTAATCTATTGGTCATTAGAAAGATAGCTTAATTATTGTAATATATAAAAATAATATTAGATTTAAAAAATAAATAGATAAAATATTATAGATAAAATCGATTTATGTTATATTACGAAAATATTCCAGAAAAAGTAAAAAGTAAAAAGTAAAAAGTTTTTTTAATATTTTTGTCAATTGTATCATATAATAATAATTTTTCTATAAAATCAAGATTGAAATTATTTTATTTTTAACTTATTATTTTATTTACTAACAAGACTAAGATTTAATCTTATTTTTTCGAGTTAAAGTCTAATAGAGTGAAAACATATATTTATGATATTTAGAATATCAAGATAAAAGATTAATATTATAAACTTTTATTCATATTGATATTCATATTAATTATTCCAAAAATTGAATAACTCCAAAACAACATAATATCTCTATAAAATAAATCTTATGACAATAAATCAAATTTAATTTTATAAAATATTAAAAAAAATTATTGAAATAAAATATTAAAAAATATTTTCTTTGAAATATTTTTGTAAATGTAATAATTCTCAGACAATAAAAAATTTATTGATTATATCTATTATCAAAGTTTTTTTCATAAACAAATCAAATTTATAAAAAAAATGTAAACTACGATTAATCTTCTATATTATTATATAATTATATTATATAATTTTATGTAATTATATTATATTATATTTATATTTATGTAAAATACATTGCATTAGTCTTTTTGAAAAATATTAAAAATATTAAAAATGATAGGATGATTTTTTTTTTTATCTATTTTTTATCTATTATTTTTTGTTTTATCTATTTCATTGAGTGATTAATATATTAAGAATTTTTGTTTTGCCTAGATTGCCGGCGTGGACAATCTTTGGTAGTTTGGGCAATCACAGAAGGTAGACAAGCCGCAAGAGAAATAGATCTGGCCTTAATGGGAAAAACTGGTCTTCCTGTTTCCGGTGGTATCATAAATAGTGTCGTGAATTAAAACAGAAATATTTTTCATTGTTAATCAATTAGAAATCAATAATTTTTTTCTAACCTTTTTCTTCTACCGTACTTTCTTATTTTTCTCTTTCTATCTTCTCATATAGTTGAATTATATAAAATATGCGATATAGAGGTAGAAGAATAAGTACATTTAATAACTAAGAAAAAAGCACGATCAATACAAGGAAATCAGTATTATTTTATCGTGAATTTTCACGATATCGAAAGATCTTATCGTCATTTGTGTTCATTCACGAAAAGAATGTTAGTTGGATATAGAATAGTTGAAGTACAGAAGATTTGCTCTTTTGTTTTGAATTGTCATTTTGTGTAATATTCATTAATATCTATAAAAAAGAAAGAAACTATAACTATTAAATAATAATATTATAAGCCAGAAATCGAAAAAAAAATAATTATAAATATATTATTATTCTTTCAAATTTATTTACTTCATGAGGTAATATAAATTATTCTATATAATTAAAATCATTTTTTACGATCAATATGAGAAAAAAATTAAATTAAATCATTAAATAAAATAAAATTATTAAATATTTTTATCAAAATTGAAATCAAATTAAAATTATAAATTATATTTTGAGGATAATATTACATATATTTTATGAATTTTTAAATCTATAATTTGTTTATACATTATAACATATGTATAGCATATGTATCATTTTTTGAATTTATTATCAGATATTTATAAAAAACACTAATGATGATATAATTTCTTGATTATTAAAAAATTTTTCTTCAATAATGTTTAATTATTTATAATGCAAATTATTGTACGTTCAATATCAATATCCAATATAACAATATTATTGTATATTCTATTGTATGAAGAGAAAGAAAATACTTCGAGACAATAAATAAATAAAATATTTAACTTCTAAATAAATATAATTTAATTATATTTATATTGTGTGTAGAATTGTAACATGTTACATTTACAAAATAATGTACATACAATTACATATGCACAATATATATTTACCCTTATAAAATTAATGTATTAAAATATTTAAACTATTTAATATTATTAATTTCAGTATTATTCAATATTTTCTTATAAAATTGAAATAAATGAATAAAAAAAAAATGAATTCATTATATATAAAAAGCAATCTTATTTTTAGTTGGCTGGATTATCAACTAAGTTAATAAGCATGTATCATTTGATTCCGTCTAATATCCGAGAACAGAAGTGGCAAGAATTCTTACAAGATCAATTACAAGAGCATCGAATTGCACATATTCGCGAAGAAATTATTAATATAGCAATCGCAAATGGACTTGAGAAAAATCATTTTGAAAAGAAACTGTTCGAATTTAATAGTCAATGTGCCCGTATAGTTTGGCTTCGCTTATTCAATGCGAGTATTGATTTTCTAAATTTTTCTAACATTCCTTTATTTTGTTTGCTTTTTGCTTATTTATTTTCTAGTGGGTGTTCTCAACATTAGATTCTTATCAGACACATTACATAACTGGAAAAGCAATACATTTGATTGTTGATATTGAACCGCAATCTTTGCCAATGGATTCTTGGATATTTAAAAATGTTTTGCAAATTTTAACTCAAAAACCATCTCCACAGACACTTATTTCTCCATTGTTCCCATCAATAACTTCTATAAAACTTTCAAATCATCTTGTTGACAAAAAGAAACAGCATCAAATAAAATCAAAACATATTAACAAAGAAAAATTGAAACCAAACAATAAAGAAAAAATAACATCTTTCAAAGCAAAAAAATTGCATGGTATAATTCATGAAATGAAAAAAACAAATCGTTATTTAAAAAAAAATATCTATTCTTTATCTTTGCACGAACAACATATCGTAAATAGTCCAACAGGAAATAAAAATGATAAGTCAAATAATATTGAAAAGAATAAAATCAATATTTTTGAAAAAAATTTGAAACACAATAGAAACAATAACAATCATAAGAGTAATTTTAACAGCAATCCTAAAAGTAAACAGGAAAATATAACAGATATTTTTCGATTATCAAAAAATTTACAACAAAATGAAACAATTACAATATATGATAAAGAAACAATGCAATTTCAACCATTATCAAATAGGTAATATACAAATTATCAAAAAAAAAAAAAATTAAGATGAAAATTTAATTATTATTTTAAAAATTTTTATATAATTCTTCGTGAAAAAAAAATTATAAAAAAAATTATAAAAAATTAAAAATTATTTCAGGGTAGAAATCTTGTATACAATTTTACCAGATCATATCGAACAACTTGAGTCAAACAATTCTATAAAATGAATTAAATAATTTTATGTATACAGGTAAGATATTACTTTTTTATTTATTGTTAAAATTACAAATTAGAATTCATATCACATATAATAAATTGAAAAAAAATTTGAATATTTTGTAGATACGTAAGATCATGATAAAAGAATATAAATATAATATCCAATATAATAAGAATATTTTATTACAAGTTTTTAAAAAATTTATAATTCAAAAAGTCGAATATACAGGATAATTTAAATAAATTTAAATTGAAAAATGAGGAAAATGAATAAAAACAATGTCAAATAATAATTTTAAAAATTTCTATTTTTGTTATTTCACTTTTTGCCATTTTTTTTTAAGCAAATAATATTTAACGATATATTAAGTATAAAAAAAATTAAATATATGCACACACACACGTGCAAATATGCGCACTCTTTTTTCCACTATACTTCTGTCCTTAACGAAATACAAAAAATATATAATTGCGTCTTATACTCTGAATACTCCTATATAACAAAATGAATCACGAACATCGTGCGTTCTTTCTTCTTTTCTTGGTTTTTGTTGTTATCTTAGCAAGTGCAAAAAAATCGTATTTTTTATAACTATTTTTTAATCTACGAAATTCGTATAAACATAATCTATTCTTTTCAAATTGTAACACATTCGATGTGTGATCCAATATTTCAATTTTTATCATTTCAATTGCTTTTGGATGGGTATAAACATTGTTTGGAAAATTGTAACGCTGATCAGTCTTATAAAGTTATACGCGTGATTATTCTACATATTTTTTTTTTTTTTTGTTTAAATGCGATTATTTTAAATTTCGAAATTAAAATATAACTAGTCAATAACATGATTATACAAAATGATGACAATGAATTATATGATAATTAGACAAATTATTCTTCTTAATATTATAGATATTATATATTATATATAATTTTATAGATATTGCAATCTTTGAAATTGTAGATTTGTATTTTGTAAATTGCGATTTTTTTTCTTTTTATTAATATCACAAGATTAATACCAATCAATATCTAAAATTATTGTAATTTTTTTAGAAAAAAAAAAAAAACAAAAACAAAACATATAGAAAATAAAAAAATTTCGATAGGATTGAATATATATATGTATATGTATAGATAAATAAAGAAATGAATATAACTATATCCACTTATTATAAGTGGGTAAAATTATATAGATATATATCGATTAATAATCGATATATAAAAAGAGGATGTCACAAAAGAAAAATATACAAAATTTGTATCAAACAAAATTATTTTAGATATCCATTGGTATTTTTGAAGCTTATAAGTGTATAACACATGTATACATTATTTTTACTACTACTACTAGTTTTATCATTTAACAAGAATAATAATTCTTGCTAACAAAATTTGATTTAAATTTTACCGCATTATTACGTACAAATGCAGAAAAATTATTATTACAAGTCTTATGACAAGTCATTTCTTCTTTGAATGAAGATATAGATTATATCTCTTATGAAAAAATGTCTCTTTACGAGAATCTAGAAATTTTTATCACCAATGTTTTTAAAATTAATTCACAAAATATATCAACATATATTTAAAGAAATATATTTTAATTTACAATATCATTTGATCAGATATGTTTATATTTTTAAAAAAATATTATTCAAACCGAGTTATGAATGTTAGGCAATATATAAAATCTAGATATCACGTAAAGAAATTTTTCAGACTTAATAGTATTACAAATTTTTTTTAATATCACAATTGTTAAAACCCATGAATTTCGCCCCTTCCCATTCTATCTTGCATCTCATGTTTATCTTCTTTTCATTATTTTTATTTTTCTGATCCTTATGTTGGTTACCTTTAAATCAAATATATTGTAAAATATGTAAATATGTAAATGTAAATCACAAAAATCCATCTTCGGAAAATAAAAATAGCCATGTTGGAGCCCACCTATAGTTAGAAGAGCTTAGAATAATCATTTTTATCAAAAAAATTAATCAATGATTCTCAGATCTCATCAGATTATTCATTATACTTGTTGATATGATCTATATAATTTTTTTTTCTCCAAAGTAAAATCTCTACTGATCATAATAGTACCTCCTCGTGTAAGATTTCTAAAAAGAAAAATAAATAAATCAATAATATATATTCATAAATTATTATTCATTATAGTGATTTGACTTACTTTAGAAACTGAGGTAACAGAATATGCCAAGATGTATGATCTTGTTTCAAAGTTAAATAAAGTTCAAAGGTAGATACTGTATTAGGGTCACATTGTATTTTTGATAGTTTTCTACATACACTGTCCGTTTCAAAACTAATAAACAATGTACATCCTCTGTAATAAAAATATAAAATAAAAATATAAAAAGCATATAAAATATATATATATATATATATATATATATATATATATATATATATNAAATATATGTGTGCACTTGGAGAAAAAAAAAAATATTACTACTACTAAATACTACTAAACATAATATCAAAACTTACCTAAGACCACAAGGTTCATTTTCAGCCATGCTAAGTACATTTTTAGCTATTCTTGGCAAAAGATCAGCAGGTAACAAAACTTCACCACATGCTAACTGTACATGCTTTGCTCTTCTTAATTCAACTTCCAATCGTTTTGCTAGAGCCTGGCAGGCTCCATCAAATTCTTCAGCTGTTCCAACTATAATGATAAACGTATTTAATTAATTATAATTATATCATTATTTCTATTTTCTTTTTACAAACGAATTTTCGTACAATTATATAATAAATTCTAATGTCATGTTATTATATAATTAATATTAATAATAACAATAATAATAAATATGTTATTAAGAATATATTTATCTTATGTATCCTTATATATAGATTTAACAATAAGCAAATGCATTTTATTAGCTGCGCACGCATGTATGAATACAAATATCTACATAAATATTATGACAACCGGCCGGCTGTACCAGTAACCGAATAACTTAGAAAGTTAAAATTTTTTTGATATTGTAAAGTAAAACGTTCCTTATAATACATATATATATAATTATTATAATATTGCTTGTTGATTATTTTTTTTAAGAAATTTCTTTTTCAAAAAAAAAAAAAAATAACTATAGATTATATATATTCTGTTCAATTTTATATAGATTTATACATATATATTTCAAGCATGATGAAACGAAACAACGAAAAAACAAATAATTGAATAAATGACAAAAAATCGATTCTAAATAATCTTTGAATGTTTTAGAAATAAAAAATAAATACCGTACATTAAAATGATCATATTCATTTATTATTATTTATTATTATTTATTTCATCATTATAATATCATATAATATCATATTCATATTTCATCATTATAATATCATATTCGTTTATTTTATAAAAAATCAGTCAATTTAAAAAACTTAAATAATTTCATAATAATAATAATATCGATTATTGTTTCTTAATAGCTAAGTATAATATATATATATATATATATATATGTACAGATATAATATGAAAAAAAAGTTAAATTTGAAAGAAAGAAAATCAGTTATATTAAATTATGAAAATTTATTGAAAGAATAAATAGAAAAATATACCTCTCGTGTTACTAAAATTCACATTTACAGGACATGGTAAAACTTCCATGTCGAAAGATGTTACACATACACAAATAACACAGAATACAGTTAATGTCAGAATGACCTTCTTGAAATACACAATATATATATTATTTCTTCAATGCTGTGAATGTATTCAGAGCTTCAATATTATATTTTCACTAATAATAATTCAACAATTTTTATAAACCCGACAAAATCACTTTTTTTAATTATTTAAATATAAATATCAATACAATCATAACTATCCTTTCTCTTTAACTTTCACTGGAAACTGCAACACTATATTGTCAAATGTAACACACTTCTACTCATATCATGCTTTAGCCGACACAACTGATTTGTCGACCAATGATGACGCCTTTTATATAAACACTCCCCTCCTTCTTAATTTTTCCCTTCCATCGTTCTTTAACAGACCGCCTAGCAACACCAGCTACGTGATGTTTCGCACTGCATCCACTTCGGGTGTTTCCGTTTCTTGTCGTTCGGATATCTTCGGTTCTTAATACATATGCTTTCCTCCATTTCTTCTGATTGTTCGAAACATCTCATTTTAACTTAATCACGTAGCTTACTAGTATTTTCAACATTATTATGTTCTTTTCTTTTATTTTAATCCATTTTTTTTTATTATTTTTTTAGAATCTAACTGCAAAAAATTTTGTTATAATTACTAATTTATTATTAATAGAATATAATTTTAATTAATTATGTACGTATGTATAATAAATTGATTTTTTATAATTAATTTTTCATTTTTAAAATCAATTAAAAAATAATAATAATCATTTTTTGTTAAACATTTTTATACTTTAATTATTTCTAAATTACTTTTGATTGTTTATTTATTTTATTATTATTGTTCGATGATTAATCTTTTTAAATTCTTCTTTTTCTATTTTTAAAATAAGTCATCGTTTTTTTAAAATAAAAAATCCTTTTTTTTCTTACTTTGTAATAAAGTCTTCTTACAATATAAATATATTATATTTATTTCATTATTAAATCATACTATCATTTATATCCTCATTTAAAATACAATTAATATTCGTAAAAATAAAATTAAATAATTAAAATTAAAATTTCTTATAATATATTTCTCCAAATATTCATTTTTAGAAAATATATTTTTATATTCTCTATTCTTTTATATATAATATGTCTTAAATATATATATATATGCCTTAAAATATGTATATATTTTATTTGTAGTCTTATTTTAAAAGATTATGTTAAATATAATTTTATAAGAATATATTATATTTTTGATATCATAATAAAGATTTCAATAAAAAGAATCAAATATTATTTTTTTTATTGTTTTTTGATTATCCAACATGATTATAAAAATTATATTTTTATAGCGATTAATAAAAATTTATATTCATGTCCTACATATGTATGAACAACATATAAAGTAATTAAGTAATTATCGATACAAAAAATAATTGGTTAATAATTGATGATGACTACATAATAGTAGTTAATATCAAATGCCAGTAAAAAATATCAATGCCAGTAATAATAGTAATATCAAAAAGGGAAGTGTGAATTGAAGCTGTAAAAAAATTAAAACATGATATTATGTTTTATATTATTATTAATCGGTGTTTCTTATTGAAATTAATAAAAAACATAAATTTAAATGTTCATTAAATATGAATATCATAAAAATTATATCAAGATTTAATTGTTAGTTTGATCCTGAGTTTATTTTGCAATATATTTTATTTCAATAACAAAATTTTTTAGCTAGCATAAAAATATATAAATATTTAAAATTTTTCAAATAAAAGTAGAAGAAAAAATAATATTCATATATTATAATAAATATAGTAATTATAGTTTCTTATATTTTGAATACTTACCTTGTGTTTTTATCTACTCTTTATAAAAATAGAACTAATATCAATGATACAACTGCTTTTCTATCATACATTATATGTTTAATATGTATACAATATATGTTATTTGATTGCTACCTTACATGAATTCATGTTTCATGCAAAAATATTTATTTTTTCATTAAATAATTTTAAAAGATAATTTATTTTTATTCGTTTGTTTATATTCATTTAAAACTATTAATAAAAGAATTGATAAAGAATTAAAAGAAAATATATATAGATAAACAAATTGATTTATTACTATATTGATTTTATTTTATTACAATTGTTTTATTACTATTTTCAAAAGTAAATACTTTTTTGAATCAATTTTATTTATATTATTTATATTATATATATTTCAAAAAACGAATAATTTTGTTCTAAAGGAATAATAAGTTTTATAATTGTTGATTTTTTCTTCCTAATATAATATTAATAAAAATTACTTTAAATCAATTTGAATTAAAATAAAATTATTCTAATAATTTTTTTAATTCTACATAAAATAATAATCTTATTTATAATATTAATAATATTTATAAATAATATTAAATAATATTATTTATAATTAATAATTAAATCAACTGATTTTATCTTATTAATTCATTAAGTAATTTAGTATACATATATCAATAAAAAAATATTTCCATACTATATCTATATAGTATATGTATATCTATATACTATATCTATATAGTATAATATAGTATATGTCTTTATATATGCGCATGCGCTTATATATATATATATATATAGGTTCATAGCATAAGCATATATATATAAAAAAAGTATGTATATAAATAAATGTTAGCGAAAAATATAAATATTTTTATTAAATTTTTTTTGATTCTTGAAACAAAAATTTGAATTCATATTTTATATTAAAGTGATTATAATTTAAATTATTTTATTATTATGATATTTTAAAATCATCAATTCATTTCTCCTAATCTTTTCTTTAAATTTAATTTATTTTTAATTTAATTAAACTTGATTTTGAAATACTAAAAATTTTGATCTTCTTTTTATATTTTTTAGCAAGTAAAATCTAGAAATAACAATCTTAATTTTTGGAATTCATTAATTTAAAATTATATGTACATAAAATTGTTTTTTAAATATTTTATGAATTACATTTACATTATATTAACATTTTATATAATAATTAGACAAGAGAAACATTAACATACTAAATTCAAATTATTTTTTTTGTTAAAGAATTTAAATTTTAAAGATTGTTCACGAATATATTAACATTCTTTATAATATGACATTAATTTGATGATTAATGATCAATAATTCATAAATTATAATAAAAATATAAAATTTATAAAGATATATTTTTTAACTCAATGTCTTAATTTATTTGTCAACATCTACGTTTTTAAATTTTTTTCATTAAAATGTATATAAAAATGTAAACAAAATTTCTATTAAAATAAAATTTCATCTTTAATTATATAAAACACACTTGTAAATTTATAATAGATATATTAATTTTTATATAAAATGTTATTATATATATTGATTATTTGAAAAGTAAAAAAATTATTTTAAGTTATTTTGTTAATTTAAGTTGATAGTAATATTTAATAAATAAATTATAAAATTTGTTATTTTTAACAATTATTTTTGATGATAATAAGTTATTAAATCAATAATTTGATTATGAATGTAATTATGCATATTTTACTATAGAATACAATTTATTTAAGTTTATATATATTTTATATGTTTTTTTATAAATTTTTTATAAGTAAATATCAAATATTTTTATAAAATCATAAAAAATAATTGTGAAAATGAAATATTAAAATCATACTTAGAACAAAATAATATTATTATATATAATAATATTATATATATAATTTTTTATATAATAATTTTAATTTATTTTATATATAAATTATATATAATAATTTTAAGATTTCATTAATAAAAAAATTTTATAAGTTCATTATAATCATCTATCAAAAATTCTATTTTAAAATGTTGATTTTTCATATTTAAGATTACTGTGAAAAATTCTTATTACTAACGCCCTCTATTAAATCATCATTTGTTTCGGTGAGTTTAATGAAAAATGTCATCGACATCTTATGACGTATATTACAATTTTTAAGTTGACGACAACAAAATGGAATATTTTAAAAGTAGCTTAAAGTCTGTTTTGGGTTCTGCATCTGTAGAAAATGAATTATCAGGCGGTGATACGGTATTTCGAATTTTTTAATAAATTAATTTTATACCTTTAGTCTTTATAAGTCTTTTTGTATTCTAACACATGATCACAATATTTTCATGTAAAAAAATAATTATCAATTATATTATTGCTTATTTAATTAAACAATTGTATTTCATGAAATATGAATATATTATATCATGAAATAATTAAAATAATTGTATAGGTAGAGCGATTAGTAGATAGGTTACAATCATCGACATTATTAAATGATAGACGAGATGCTTGTCGAGAACTTAAAACTCTTTCACGAACTTACCGTGTTGAGGTAGGAGCTCAAGGAATGGATGCATTGAGACAAATTTTAGAAATGGATAGAACTGATTGTGAAATTATTGGTTTAGCATTAGATACTCTTTGTAATATAACAAATCCTAAGACATTTGATGAAGAAGGTAATATCTGCATATAATTATATGTTTATATAAATTTTATTATTTTTTTATATATTTTCAGTTGATAAGCATGGACCCAATAATAAAATAGGAGAACAATTTACTGAAATATTTATTAAAAATACAGATAGTGTAGGATTAGTATTAACACTCTTGGAAGAATTTGAATTTAAAGTTAGATGGCCAGCATTAAAATTATTGATGTATTTATCTACTAATAGACTAAAAGATATACAAGAAATAATTTTAGTTAGTCCTATGGGTGTTTCTAAATTAATGGATCTTCTTGGTGATAGTAGAGAAGTCATACGTAACGATGTACATTTTTATAATTTTCTAATATAAATAGTTTTGTTTATTATTTATTTATTTATTGAATTAAAATATTAAAAATTTATTAAAAATTATATTTTGTAATTTTTTAATAGGTTTTATTGCTTCTTATTCAATTGACAAAAGGTAATGCAAATATTCAAAAAATTGTTGCATTTGAAAATGCATTTGATCGTATTTTTGATGTCATTGCGCAAGAAGGTAATATAGAAGGTGGTATTGTTGTTGAAGATTGTCTATTACTAATGTTAAATCTTCTAAGGGGTAATATAAGCAATCAAAATTTTTTTAAAGAAGGTACATATAATTAAGCTAGTTACTTTACTATATCAATGTGAAAATCAATGTTATTATATTTTAGGCAGTTATATTCAAAAATTAACACCAATGTTTCAAATATCATCTGAAATTGATGATAATCCTCTAAGTGCATGGAGTTCACAAAAAGTATCA